TGGAGTCTTCATCATGGATTGTCGCACGATATTTGGAGCAGAGTTAGCGACCCTCCAGATGGAACTTTTCGAAGCAAAAAGGGAGAGCTCGTATCGGATCTGACTGATGGTCGCAGTAGAATTGGAAAGGGATCGTTTAATATGGCGGATATAATACTCAAGCAGAACACGTGACCTTTCAGGGATCTTTCCTTTCATGATAAGCTGGATTCCTCAAAAGAAATGTCGATACAGCTTTGAGAACGTCCAAGTTGAGCAGCAATGGAGCGATTTGAATGGGCAGCTCGATGTAACGTCCTCGCACGAACTTGCTCTTCCAAAGAAAACGTAGATCCACGAGATATATTGAAGACGTAATGTGTTTGTGCTAATTATGGCCAAAGAACTCCAAATGAGTTAACAGGAACAAAAATTTTTACCGCTGTTGCCTACTCGCCCGGGGTGGCTTTATACTTTTGAAACAGGGGAGTTTTTCAAATTTTCTTATGGAACCGTTTCTAGCTTATAGTGGTTTGTACAACAAAGTTTACTATAGTTTCAGAGCGTGCTGAATTCGATAAACTATTCATCAAATCACGGAACCTTCATTCTAACTTGGAACAGCTTCATTCAAGGGTGGCTTTATACTTTTGAAACGCACTGTATTTATGCTCGGCAATGTAGTATAGACTGCAGCTCTTGGTCCACTAGTGCAGCAGACACAGATATGATTGGAATGGTCTCCATCATAGGGTATACTACATAAGGGGGAGCATTTACCGCGAAGCGATCCACATTTATTTTTCACCATCTTTCTGAGCTAGTTCCATTCCAATGCTTACACGTTTCACGTACCTCTAAACGATATTCTGGATTCGAAGAAAAAGTAGGTGGAACATGAATGTAATACATCGGAACAAGAGCTATGCAAAGAATAATGATTCCAAAAATGCCTGAAACCATTCATGTCATTTTGTGAGCAGTTCTCACGGCGTTTTTGTAGTTGAAAGCAGTCAGAAAACAATATAAGCTAGAATCCTGTAAAAGAACTTATTAAAGACTTCCACTTTCCTCGCTGAAGGCGTGATGTTATTCGTTATTATACCATGGTTAATCTGAAGGGTATCCCTTGAGAAAAATTTGTAGCGATGGAAGGACGTGGGTGTACACCAATTTTAAGCCACGCGCACCGCATGGATATACCTGAGGAACACTGCTAACCAAAGATTAGTAATAAGTGCTGACGTGTACAGGTATCTAGCAGAGAGTTTTTCCGTACTGGCGGAAGAGGTAGTGGAACTCTTCTACGTGTTGTTGTAAAGCCTGCTCTGCGAAGCAGTCCGCACATGGAGGGCCTCCACCCCGCTATTCATCCACAAGAAAAGACCGCAATGGGCCTGAGCAATTTCCGCCTGATAGGTCTCCTTTCCTACGTGCGGAGGTCTTTTCCCGTCTTGTTCTCAAGAGGATACGCCGCTACATCGACGAGTACGCGACTGCAGAACAAGCCGGTTTCCGTTCATGCTTCTCCACTATTGACCATATTCATGTAATATCACAGCTGACGGAACGTTGCCGCGAGTACCGCACCCCACTGTGTCTTCTGTTTATCGATTTCAAAAAAAATTTCGACACAGTGGAGCATCGGAGCATGGGAGTGTATCGCGTCATGGGTGTGTGCGATATCATTGATGCCTACGATGGAATAGCGCGGCAGTGCAACGCGACTGCTAAACCCACATCAAACACAAAATACTGGCACGTCTTCAAATCGAGTGCGGCGTCAAACAAGACGAGGTTATATCCGCCACGTTCGCTATTGCGCTCGAGAACATCATGAGGCGAATCTCGTTGCCCGGAGGAGTGAACATCGACGGCGTTCGCTTAACGCATCTCCTCTTCGCTGATGACTGTGTTCTGATAGGCGAGGACCCCGCCGACATTGCGCAATCCCTGAGCCTCATCAGGCAGGAAGCCGGCAAAATCGGACACAAATTCATCCCGGCAAGACTCAGTGGATGCACAACGAACAAGTTCAGTACCACCCAATCCTCCTCATCGAAGGTCTGAAGACCGAGCAAGTCTCCTCCTACGTGTATCTCCACGAAGCGGTCAGTATGGACAATGATTTCACGCACGAAATTAGGCAGGCTGGACCGCTCTCAACATAGCGCGAGACATACTCACCTGTAAACACGTAGATCCCAAAGTCAAGGCCCACGCCTTCAACTATCAGGTTATTCCCGCAATGACGTGCAGGTGAAGAGATGGAGCACCACAGTCTCTGTAGGAGAATTTGCAGTCATAAAGGTAGTGATGCAGAGAGATATGCGGTGTTCTGCTAAGACAGCATATCCAATGACGCTATCCGCGTTTGTATGATAGTTGAGGACGTCGTGGAAGCTGACTCAGATGGGCTCAGAACTCTCGTGAAATTATGAGGTCAGCTATGGCGCAGAAGAGCTCGAAGAGATTCTCCACTTATTGAGATACCCAAATCTCATTGTTTTTGGGAGCATGTTCTCAACAAGAACTCTGAAAAACGATACGATTTCGCAAGCTCAAAAGGTTGCAGTAATCCTTCTCGAAAACCAAAGAAAAAGTCCGTTGCGATTTAAAAGAATCAACATTGAAAATCGTGTAAGCTACAGAGTCCTACAAGCCCAAAAACTCGGATTTGCGCGAAAGTGCAAGACGGCGGCTTTTTCAAAAGTGAATTTTCAGAGTAATTGTAAAGCATTTCAATGAGGGAAGAATCCGTCATCAGGAATGCTTCATAAGAGTTCGCAAATGAAAGTTGTGGCATTCAAGGGAAATAAGTGCTTATTAGACTGCGTAGTGGTGCTGGGGTTTCTAATTTTCTTTCAATGACGGAGGACTTGCCAACATTTTTAGTAAACTCTATAGAATTTCTGAGAGCCTTGATTTTTCGCATCCTGAATCTACATGAGCTTCTAGCAACCTCAAATTCTGAGGAGTCTGTGTTCGTTCGAAGAGCGTTACTCAGAGGCATGGGTAGCGGTCGATTGGTGTGTTTTGCTTGAAATTGAACGAAGAGGTGCTAAAAGGAGTGAGGAGAAAAGCAGAAAAACATAGTAATTCGTACTTAGTGGAATGCTTCTTTATGAAGGCGACCGTGGCACGACGGAGAGACACAACGCTATGAGGAAAGGGAATACGCGAAAGACCATTTCGTACGATAAGTACCAAACACCATGCTGCGAAAGAGCGAAAATTGCGGCGGTCAAGGAAAGGCATTGGCGTTTTTGAGACGCACTTCTCTCACTGAGTCATGACAGTATCACGACCCCGTGCTAGTAGACCTCGCTGCCTTATACACAGAGAGGACTTGTGGAGGTTTTGATCGCGACCCATGCCTTCAATGCGCCTTTCTTCACGTCATTCAACAGAAGACTGGTGCATTTCCAAGGCAGAATCACGATCTTGGTACACTGGAAGAACCGGTACATCGCAAACTCCGTATAAAGTTATTTGCAGCTGTAACAAGGGATCTGATCGACTTCACCGGGATGGATAGAGATAAATTTTCTGAAATCGGCCGAATGCGCCGGTTGATGGAATCACCAACTCAAAGGGAGGATTTAAGGTTAAGGTTTTAAGGATTTAAAGGTTTAGAATATTAGAGCGCTTCTAAACCGAGTTCGCGATGAACTACTGCTAAAGAAACAATAACGCAATCCAATTCTCATACGCTGAGTAGCCTTTCGATGTAAATGATTCTTCTTGCTCGGTAGTCAACTTGCGGACAAAAATACAATGCTCGAAGATCCCTCCCCTTCGCTTCGATCAAATTCGGCCTGAGTGCCTTTTCTCGAAGCTGGCAGCAAGCCCGAACGCATTATGCGCCTATAAGTAGCTCACTGGCAAGAAAACCACTGATAGTGATCGTGCTCGGTGGTAGATAGTGCTTTCGGATAAAATAAAGTGAGTCCAAAAAGGATTTCGAATTCCGTAAGAACTTTTGAGACATCCCAACAGAAACAGTTTGATCAATATTCCTCGAATAAAGAGGACACATACCTTCGATGCCTACTGCAAGCAGAGGGTCCACATCATACTGGCGCATGTACTTTTGCTCACTGACAAGTTGCATGGCAACAAAAACCTGTGAGATGGTGCAGAGGATATCACCTAAACGCTGTAATATACACGCGGAAAAGGGCTAGACAATCGAGTATTACTATACTACATATACTATGCTGTAGCGCTATGAAGCGGTGTTTTCTCTTCAGATATTGGTGCCTACCTATAACTACATTTGTTTTTTCACCGGGCTTTTCCCCGCTGTAGTAGATATCCGTTATTCCAATGACGACCAAGCCGAGCACGCATAGGAGCATGCCGGACCATTGAAATCCCTTGATACGTGCTCGAAGCCATAAAATGGATAGCAGTCCAGTACAGACGATCAGCGCTCCTAAAGAAGCTTAATACTATTTTCACTTGATTGATCATCTGGATCTGCAATTGCTCTAGCAGATCTAATAGTTGTACCGATGATGTAAAGAGAAGCTTTTGAAGCATCGTATCCCTTGCTGCCTACAACCTATCTAAAAATTCATTTCAGTGCGCACAGTTTGCTAGGAAATATTGTTGAACAACATCCACTAGATGTCTTTTTCAAGCCCACCCACTCACGCCAAGGAGAAGTGACAGGTCGAAATTTGTGCGGACCAAGGATGCGTGTTCAGGCGCTGATGACAACCTTCAATCTTATCTGACAGATTAAGGCACGAGTGCTCCGGGTCGTAGGTCTTTTCGCTCAAATTTCAACTTAACATATTTGTTAGACATTTCCTTCTAGTCCATCTGTGCTCTTACAAGGATGTTTCGCCAAAAAGAAAATGAAACGTAATATCATAAGCAAGTTCTAGAATAATGTTTAGCAGTGCCACCAAGAGGCTATTCACCCTTAGCCCTCCATTTCTTCAGTGTCAGGAACAAAATGTGACTTGAATTTTGATCCTTGTTTCAGTTTGACTTCTCAAACGCAAAGCTCCTTAGGCAAGACATGCTTAGGTCGCGCGCAGGTAGGGCCGTAGTGCTGCGAACTCTAAAACAGCTTCAAAAAAACCTAGCAATCAAACTCCGGTTGAGCGATGATGAAGGCTCGGTGATCGATACACTCCGTCAAAGTTCTGAATGAGAAGGAAGACTTCTGGTTCTAATGTCGTGATGTAATGCTAACTAAAACTCTGTCTACATACATACTCGAAGTTTACCCCGCAGTCGATTACCTGTCCCGGGCTCGTTGCCAGCGCGGGAGCAGAACATTCTCAAAATTTCCACGTCACGGGCAACCCATTTTCGTAGTTTGGCCATGTGCCTATGCCTATTAGCTATTTTTACTCAAAAGAATCTGTATTCTCATCCATTTAGGCTGGTAAGTCGTCATCCAGCAAGATCTTTTACCCGAAGTTCTCGCACAATATTACTGAGTCGCGAAATTTTTATTTTCATTCATAGATTTTGCTGGTTTCCATGCCACCAGCAGTTCCTCGACCCTTGGTACTTCCATCTAATCGGAGTCAACTGGCCGTCTGACCGAACCTAGGGAGGTAGTGGAATTTTTGCACTTCGCCTAAGGACAGGGTTACCTGCATTCAATTTTGTTTATTTCTGGTTTTTGATGTGTCGTGGTTTATGTTGGATAAGGTATTGCTTGTTTCTTTGGAGAAACATCTTTCCTTCCTCGAAAGCGCTGAAATCCTACACCTATTTTCGTTGCCTCTCACGTGAAATAGGAGCGTAGAGGAAGCAGCGTTTTAGAAAGTGTGAACCCTAGACCCATGCTAGACTTTCTTAGTGTCGCTATTTTCACATTCTGCCAAATTTTTCGTAATTTTCGCAGGAACTTATACTTGCTGATTATTTAAGCAGCACTTTATGATCCTCTAGAAGATTCTTTTTTCTTTTTCTTTCTTTTTTTTTATCTTTCTTTAGTAGATTTTTTCTTAATGAGTAGAAGGTGAACTCACCTCGCAGCATCTGGTAACTGCTAGCTGAGGTTAAGGTTAATCCTACATAGGAGATTGAAGTGGCGATGATGTCACAAAAAGTTGCTGGTAAGAAGACGAAAGGATTGAAACGAGGTATTCGTGGTTCGTCATCCGGGTTTGCTGGAAAAGTCTTACCGCTGCTCAATGGCTCATTTGCTCGCTTTCAATCATCGCATTATAACAAAAGATAATATTTGATCGCTATGAAAGTATAATATCTAGTGAATTGTCCAAATAAGTCCTCTGCACAAGTCAAGCGTCTACTTATAAAACACACGTGCCCTTGCATGGCACAACCAACTTCTACTGAATAAATACCGTTTCGATATATTATAGAGAAAACTGCTATAATTCTTGGGGAGCAGAACTTGCGCTTTCTTTTCCCGGAGGTGTCATAATATGTACAAGCTGCATCGTGGCGCAGAGTTTGAGCTCTGAATGATACGGCAGAGTTTTGTGTTTTTGACCGAGAGACCGACGGTCAATTTCAAATCGATATGCAAAGTACAATTCGAAACAAAGTTCGTGGGCTGTTTCGACGACACTGGCGAGACTAAGAGGAACTTGGAGAAGGAGGATCTTGAAAGTGACAACTTTCGGATGTAAATGTTAGAAGGAAGTGGCAACAGGTGAAGTTAATCTGCCGGTCTTCTGATGCTCGAAAAAATGAAGAGCTCTTTACGAGTTTCCGAGCAGATCTTATGACTTTTTAGGCGGCAAATGATGCGATAAATTGGCCATTGGAAATGAAGGACAGAGGTAACAAGAAAACGAGGAAAACGCTGGGGAAACTTCTAAAACTCGCCAAATGAAACATTCATTCCGCCCGTTGCTTTCCGCGTCGGACGGATCAGCTACCAAGCAGGGTTAATTGGACGTCAAATTCCCTCAAGCCGGCATCATGCCAGCGCGTATCCACGCTTCGATACCATGGATAAAGCAAATTGAAAGAGGCAATCGATTGGATTGAAGTGCTTTCTCAAAATAGAGCATACGAAGATTATATCTGTATCAGAATCCAGCATGTTTCTGTCATCATTTGGGCACGTACGGCTCCTTTGAGGAGAGATTTCTACAGGCGCGCACCACTTCGCGAAAGTGCCATGCCTCATTCCCTTAGGGAACTAGCCTCTTGATAGGAGGCAAATTTCTTCGTTTCAATGATCTGATTTATCGTGCCTTCTATTTTTTTAAAATAATACCGAAATGTTCAAAAAGTCCATTTCCAGGTATAAAAGGGAGGAGCGTTCAGCAGAGGCATCCATGAGGGAGGGAGGAGCGCTCCCGTCAGTGACTTTTTCTCAAGTGGGAACGAAGTCATCATGCACCGTAGCCGGCTGCCAACATCAATCGCTGAGGTCGCGGACTGCCACCTCTAAACTGTCTTCAACAGTATAAGCCACTGCAGCAACTTGAAGCTGCCCACATTGCTTTGTGTTCCTCTCATATCTTGTTTTCGTTATAACTTCTCGATTCCAGCGATTCTTCAAACTTGAGTAAGTCCCTAGATTCACACTGATCACCCCGTTTTTCTTCCACTGAAAGTGGGCATAGCGCAGCGATCAAGCATGCCGATTGCCGTTCACACTGTCATCGAGACCGAACGCCATCCTCGCCAACAAGTATTCTTTATGCAACTGACGCTCCCTACATTTGAAGGATGGACAAGACGAAAAATCAGTTTTAAGTAACTCCTAGTAATAGGCATAGTGGCGCAATCACAGCTCCCAACGGAACTTAGAAGCTGTTAGCAGAATAGTGTATCCTTGAATCTTGTGTTTCCACTACATTACCATTACCCATTACCACATTCAAAATAGAGATGACCTTATTTGTCGACAATAATAATGAACGAAAGAGTATGAAGAAGGACATGGAAAGCTACATTTCTCACAATTCTGTTTTTCCTTGTTCCAATGATACTTTCTGCAGCCGTGTACGATGAAGAAGGCGCCCAAACACAATATTTCTCCAATGAACATGCATCCAGCCTGAGGAATTTTTCGTATTTAGTTGATAAATAGATGAAGCATTCTTCAATTCAGCATTCTATTAATGTCGCTCTTTTCGAAAATGATATCTAAAGCGTATGAACATGCTTTCTCTTTCTTTATGTTCATGTTTCCCGACCAAACTTTGCAGAACAATTGCCTGCTGTAAAAAATGCTAAATTATGGTCTTGGCGTCTCTCCTTACTTCAGTTCGTCGGTCAACATGGCTGTGCCAGCCTAGTTCAATGGCATTCTCCGTTCTCTTGTACCGTGTTTGAGGTGAAATACTTCATAAATCTACGGCACTTCCATGGGTCACCCTTACATGTATATCAAAAATTTCCGTACAAGTTCATTCTCCCTTCTATGCTTATGTGTGTTCTACAGGCCAATGCACGAGCACACGGTGGAAGGCTACTAGTTTAGGGCGTTACTTGGGTTTTTCCTTATTATAGTAATAACACCGTTATGTTTGCTGATGGTGCATCTTGAGTGCATGATAATTAAGAAAATAAATAAAGTATTAACAGTAAACATATATGGTGGTGGTGTCCGTTCCTCCAAGTGGTGCCACTGGGAACTGCTCACTTTGTGAGCTGAGCTGAACACGGACATTCGAATGCAGGCGACAGGCCCCCGTGACAGGCCGGCCTACGAACACCCACGTCACATCACAAATGTTAATGTCGCTATATGAATCTCGAGATAATGCTACGGCGTCCGCGGGAGCCGACGCGCACTCGCAAAGCCCGGCGAGTGTGAAAAGTATGCGAGGGTCTCCGGTGCAAGGACGGCATCGGGGGGCAACTAGGCTAGTCCAAAAGCCATGCAACGTATGGAAGACTCGCGTTGCAACATTAAATGTTGGCACGTTGACGGGCCGCTCCAGCGAGTTGGCAGAAGCGCCGACGAATTGACTTCTGTGCCGTGCAGGAAACGAGGTGGTCCTGCTGCAAGTCGAGGGACATTGGCCGCGGCTTCAAAGCCGTTCTCTGTGGCGGTCCCAAAACCACCAATGGCGTCGGGATGATTGTCTCTGAACGCTTTCGTGATTCGATAGTAAGCGTGGAGCGCTTCGACGACCGATTAATGAAGATCATTGTCGTCATCGAACAACGAAAATACCACTTCTTCTCTGCGTACGCTCCGCAGACCGGATGCTCCGAGCAAGCCAAAGACAAGTTCTGGAACCTGCTTGATGAGAAGACAGCTGAGGTACCGTCACAAGAAGCTATAATTGTCGCAGGTGACCTCAATGGGCACGTTGGCGCTACGAAAGACGGTTACAGCTGTCATGGTGGTTTTGGATATGGGTCACGTAACACTGATGGCGAGCGAATTCTTGAGTATGCAGACTCGCACAACCTCGCCATTGTGAACACGAAATTTCCGAAAACGTGACTCACATCTCATCACCTTCTATAGCGGTAAACCAGAACACAAATTGATTTCGTCCTTGTCAGGCGCCGCGATCAAGGGCTCGTAACAGACGCGAAAACAGTGCCTTATGAAACGGTCGCCACGCAACACCGACCACTAATTTGTACGCTAAAGATCGCCCCGCCGAAACCGAAACTAACCGAAAGGTGTGGGCCAGCGAGAATCAAGTGGTGGCGACTGAAGGAAAAAGAAGCGGCCGTCGTTTCCCGCATTCAATTACCAGCGGTAACGACTGTCGACGAAACCTGGAAAGGTGCTGCCGAAGAAATAACTCGGATAGCTCGATCCGAGCTCGGGATGACGAAGCCTGGACGGCGGAGAATTGACAAGCAAACGTGGCTGTGGACGGACCAGGTCAGAGAGAAAGTGCGCGAAAAGAAGAAGCGGTACCACGCATTTCTTCACGAAAAGACAGCTGAGAACTGGCGGAGCTATCAGATAGCGAAGAAAGAGGCAAAGAAGGCCGTTGCTTCCGCGAAAGCAGCTCATTTTGCTGATATCAGTAAGAAACTCGAGTCGCGCGATGGTGAGCGGTACGTTTACCGACTTGCAAAGACCCGCCATCGCCAGACCGAGGATATAGAAAAGTTCTTCGGCATAAATGACGAGAATGGCCACCTCTTGACGGACCGCAAGAAAACACTGAAGCGATGGCGTGACTACTTCGAAAACATCTCAACAGTCGAATTTACTCATCCCGCCATCCCCTGCGCTCCGCCAGTACACGGTCCCGTTCAGAAGATAACCGTGGAGGAGACCATCACGGCCATGAAGAAGATGAAATCAGGCAAAGCAACTGGTCCTGACGACTTAGCGGCGGACTTGTGGAAATCAAAATGCTGGAATCCTGCAGAATGGTTGACGGAGTTCTTCAACCAGATCGTTGCAAGAAGGTGCCTGAAAGCTGGCAACAAAGCACGACGATTCCTATCTGGAAGAAGAAGGGCAGTCCTGGAGACTGCACTAGCTACCGTCCAATTCGCCTGCTCTCGCACAGCATGAAAATCTTTGAGCGAGTTGTAGTAGCCGTATCCGGGACATCGTCGAGCTGACCACCAACCAGTGTGGTTTTGTGGCTAGTTGCAGCACCATCGATGCCATACACGCCGCTCGCCTTCTGCTAGAAAAGCATCGCGAGAAACAAAGACCGGTGCACCTTGCCTTCCTAGACTTGGAGAAGGCTTTCGATCGCGTTCCGCGTGACGTTATATGGTATGCCTTACGACAGCATGGCGTCCCTGAAGAGCTTATTGAGTGGGTGCGCATCCTTTACTCGAGTCCAAAGAGCCGAGTGCAAACGGCAGCAGGAACATCGATGGATTTTCCCATCTCTGTCGGGGTACATCAAGGCTCTGCGTTATCCCCACTCCTATTTGTTGTCGTCATGGATGCCATTACGAGAGATCTCCAGAAGCCGGCTCCATGGACGCTTCTTTATGCTGATGACGTGATGCTCGCTAGCGAAGATAAAAGCACGCTCGAGCAACAGGTGCAAAGCCTGGTCCGACCGTCTGGCTATGTTCGGGCTCAAGCTGAACGTCAAAAAGACTGAGTACTTGACCACCGATTCGAGTGAGTTAGGCTCTATTAAGATCAATGGTACTGAGCTCACACGTACAACATCATTCAAGTATCTTGGATCAGCAATCGCGTCTGACGGCAGCCTGGTCTTGAAACGAATTCTCGCGTGAATGCAGCCTGGTCGAAATGGCGCTCGATGACTGGCGTTCTCTGCGATAAAAACATGCCAGAACGTCTCAAATCTAAGATCTATAGAACCGTCATCCGGCCGGTCGCGATTTACGGTGCTGAGTGCTGGCCTACGACTAAAGAGTCGAAGCCCGTCTCAGTGTGATGGAGACCAAGATGCTGCGCTGGACAGCCGGAGTCACACGAGTAGACCACATTCGAAACGATGTCATCAGAGAGCGATTCGGGGTGGCTCCAATTGTCGACAAGATGCGCGAAGCCCGTCTTCGATGGTATGTTCCTTCGCGCGAAAGATGACAGTGTCGTAAGATCGGTCTCAACCTTGACGTGCCCGGAAAGCGGCCTAGGACGCCCGAAGCAGCGATGGCTCGATACGTTGCACGAAGACTTGAAGTCGGTTAACATCCACCCCGATCAAGCATTTAATCGGGAAAAGTGGCGTCAACACATCAGAAAAGCGGACCCCGCCTACAAGCGGGACAGACGCTAAAGAATAAGAAGAAGAAGAAGAACAGTGAACATATATGAACACATATGTATGTTTATGGATTGAACTTGCGAGTAAACATTCTCTGGGTCAAAAGGTACCCAAACATCCAGTTTCACTTCTATGTAAGGCACAATGGTGCACATGAGTTTCAACTTCATTTTTTCCTTTGTAGCACCTTTCATCTGTTATCAGCGCTGCGACCCACATCGGAATCTGAATTTGAATGAAGCAATCGTCTTACCACGGACGTGCACCAGAAATTGGTCAGTTTTCGCATTCATCAAGCTGCGCCAATGTGAATAAATTGAGGAACAAATTCACATTGACACGATTTTTTTTAGCAATTTTCAACAAGTGTCGGTCTGCAGAGTGAGTACCTGAAGGAAAGGATGGTGGAATTCCTTGCCTTCCGCTTCAAGTTTATCGGTCCATTTCGCACATATCGTATTAAGCGAACCAGTGATGAGCATCAACGCACAAACAGACAGTATGTAGGTCCTTGATTTCTCCTTCATCAGTTTTTCGAAGGATAGTCCTGAAGAATACAAGATAATTGATTTAGATGATTATGCAATGGAGTTCACGTCGAAGTTTCATCACATTTGCAAAGGAGGATCCGTGACTGAATGCACATAACAAAAACCTGAACACAGCAATCTTATCTGTGTTCAGAACGGACTGTGACATTTGCTGGATGTCACATGTACATGTGTCACTTGAAGCGAAGACTTCCGCGATGGTGACCGATGATCTTTGGCCCCATACCAGCAGAAAATTCGCCCTTGAGAAATGCATAAAATAATGATTCGACAGAAAGAGTGGATGAACATGACCCTTTCATATCTGAGGAAACCATTTAGGCTAATGTAAGACTTGCTAGGACAAATGTTCTCTGGATTTCTGTGCTGGTTTGATTACGTCTTATATATTAGTTTTGAGGGCGGAAGTGGTGTAGTGGACAAGTGGCGCGCTTACCACGCGAGCGGTCCGGGGATCAAATCCTGGGTCGTGAGTCGCCCGGGCCAACCAAGCCTTCCATCCCTCCGGGGTCGGTTAATTGGTACCAGACTTGTCTGGGAGGATAAAAACACTGACTTGTACATCGGCTGGCCCCCGCAAGTCATTGTATAGGCCACATCGCATTCAAACGCCACTACGAATGTACAAATGGAAGTAGAATGCGTGCCGCATCCCAAAAAGGGATTGATCAACGGCAAATGCTTTATCCTTTTATCTTTTTATATTAGTTGAAGGTCCAATTCTTGGCGCGTACCAAAGAAAACTCTCTCCATCGGACATTGCATCTTGTCATTTGTATAGTTTTTGGAGGTAAAGGCGAAGAGCGTGCAATGTACTAACAGAAGCTTGCGCACGACGCTTGGCAGAATTGGGCTCATAGTTACAGTCGGGACACAGAGACACCGAGAGCTCGTCGGCTCGCAGGTATGTTCATTCAGTAGCACGAGTTCTCACCGTATTAGATAGGATTGGATAAAATAAAATGAATGTGAGGTATGCAGTCTCAACGGTTCCTCGCCATGGGTGGAATTTCGATTTTTGCATAGCCTCGCGCTCACCCTTACGCTTTGGATCAAATATTGTCATCGGCACTAATCCATGACGCTAGCAAGGAACTACGCAGCGTTTCTTCTAGCTCATGAAATAGTACGCGTGTAAGAGCAGCGAGCATGCTATCCTGATTACTGTAATACATAGTGTACCAACGGCGCCACATGAATAAAGTGTAAATTGGTTACACACGAGAGGGGCGGAGCACAGCCCGTGGCGGAGCTCCAAAGGAATGGCAAGCCCAGTACGCTGCAACTAGCGCACCTTTGGCCACAAAAACGCCACATTTCGCTTCCTTGGGCCCCTGACTACTGCTTCCACTGGTGCATGTACTTCCACGCTGCACACACACTTTATCGTAATCTCTCGCTTTAATCTGAAAGGTTCAGAAGAATTTGCGCCGATTTTTTTTGAGTTTGTGACTTTTTTGTTCCTCAAATATTTTTTGCTGTTCTCCTCCGCTCTCTAATTTTCCAAGCTCATTGGTCAAACTCATCAAACTGATCTCTCAGTTCAGCACTCATGCGAAAGCATCAGAATAACTAAATGCAACGAAAAACATCAATCAACAAACAAAAGCACCCCACATAAAGGAATAGGGGCACTGCAGTTCTCCTCCTCAGGTCAGGTCACCCAAAACTAAGACACCAGTCATTTGCTCGGAGCAAGCTTATAAGGGCTAAGGGCTGAAGGCTTAGGGCTAACCTAAGCCTACGCCCAATCATTAGCTTAAGCATAAGCCCAAGCCTAAGTCTAAAGCCAAGCCTAGCCTTAGGCTTCAATGATCGCGCAGCTCTGGCGATTTGACTCCAGGAGCAGAACGTCTCCCGAAAGGAATCTGCCTATGCGATGAGCTAATACAGTCATGCGGATCAACTCCTGTCAAAACCTTTCAAACCCTTCGTCTGCTCACGTGGTCAGTCACTCGATGGAACTTGTGCTTGAGATGGAGTGGAGGAACACATAGAGCAGCCAGCTTCGCAACTTACT